GTAATCTGATTACAATACTTACATATTTTTACTGTAATCTGAATACAATACTTACATACTTTTACTGTTATCTGATTACAATACTTACATACTTTTACTGTAATCTGATTACAATACTTACATACTTCTAAGGTAATCTGAATACAATACTTACATACTTTTACTGTAATTTGATGATAATACTGACATACTTTTACTGTAATCTGCTTACAATACTTACATACTTTTACTGTAATCTGAATACAATACTTACATACTTTTAAGGTAATCTGATTACAATACTTACATACTTTTAAGGTAATCTGAATACAATACTGACATACTTTTACTGTAATCTGATTACAATACTTACATATTTTTACTGTAATCTGAATACAATACTTACATACTTTTACTGTTATCTGATTACAATACTTACATACTTTTACTGTAATCTGATTACAATACTTACATACTTCTAAGGTAATCTGAATACAATACTTACATACTTTTACTGTAATTTGATGATAATACTGACATACTTTTACTGTAATCTGCTTACAATACTTACATACTTTTACTGTAATCTGAATACAATACTTACATACTTTTAAGGTAATCTGATTACAATACTTACATACTTTTAAGGTAATCTGAATACAATACTGACATACTTTTACTGTAATCTGATTACAATACTTACATATTTTTACTGTAATCTGAATACAATACTTACATACTTTTACTGTTATCTGATTACAATACTTACATACTTTTACTGTAATCTGATTACAATACTTACATACTTCTAAGGTAATCTGAATACAATACTTACATACTTTTACTGTAATTTGATGATAATACTGACATACTTTTACTGTAATCTGCTTACAATACTTACATACTTTTACTGTAATCTGAATACAATACTTACATACTTTTAAGGTAATCTGATTACAATACTTACATACTTTTAAGGTAATCTGAATACAATACTGACATACTTTTACTGTAATCTGATTACAATACTTACATATTTTTACTGTAATCTGAATACAATACTTACATACTTTTACTGTTATCTGATTACAATACTTACATACTTTTACTGTAATCTGATTACAATACTTACATACTTCTAAGGTAATCTGAATACAATACTTACATACTTTTACTGTAATTTGATGATAATACTGACATACTTTTACTGTAATCTGCTTACAATACTTACATACTTTTACTGTAATCTGAATACAATACTTACATACTTTTAAGGTAATCTGATTACAATACTTACATACTTTTAAGGTAATCTGAATACAATACTGACATACTTTTACTGTAATCTGATTACAATACTTACATATTTTTACTGTAATCTGAATACAATACTTACATACTTTTACTGTTATCTGATTACAATACTTACATACTTTTACTGTAATCTGATTACAATACTTACATACTTCTAAGGTAATCTGAATACAATACTTACATACTTTTACTGTAATTTGATGATAATACTGACATACTTTTACTGTAATCTGCTTACAATACTTACATACTTTTACTGTAATCTGAATACAATACTTACATACTTTTAAGGTAATCTGATTACAATACTTACATACTTTTAAGGTAATCTGAATACAATACTGACATACTTTTACTGTAATCTGATTACAATACTTACATATTTTTACTGTAATCTGAATACAATACTTACATACTTTTACTGTTATCTGATTACAATACTTACATACTTTTACTGTAATCTGATTACAATACTTACATACTTCTAAGGTAATCTGAATACAATACTTACATACTTTTACTGTAATTTGATGATAATACTGACATACTTTTACTGTAATCTGCTTACAATACTTACATACTTTTACTGTAATCTGAATACAATACTTACATACTTTTAAGGTAATCTGATTACAATACTTACATACTTTTAAGGTAATCTGAATACAATACTGACATACTTTTACTGTAATCTGATTACAATACTTACATATTTTTACTGTAATCTGAATACAATACTTACATACTTTTACTGTTATCTGATTACAATACTTACATACTTTTACTGTAATCTGATTACAATACTTACATACTTCTAAGGTAATCTGAATACAATACTTACATACTTTTACTGTAATTTGATGATAATACTGACATACTTTTACTGTAATCTGCTTACAATACTTACATACTTTTACTGTAATCTGAATACAATACTTACATACTTTTAAGGTAATCTGATTACAATACTTACATACTTTTAAGGTAATCTGAATACAATACTGACATACTTTTACTGTAATCTGATTACAATACTTACATATTTTTACTGTAATCTGAATACAATACTTACATACTTTTACTGTTATCTGATTACAATACTTACATACTTTTACTGTAATCTGATTACAATACTTACATACTTCTAAGGTAATCTGAATACAATACTTACATACTTTTACTGTAATTTGATGATAATACTGACATACTTTTACTGTAATCTGCTTACAATACTTACATACTTTTACTGTAATCTGAATACAATACTTACATACTTTTAAGGTAATCTGATTACAATACTTACATACTTTTAAGGTAATCTGAATACAATACTGACATACTTTTACTGTAATCTGATTACAATACTTACATATTTTTACTGTAATCTGAATACAATACTTACATACTTTTACTGTTATCTGATTACAATACTTACATACTTTTACTGTAATCTGATTACAATACTTACATACTTCTAAGGTAATCTGAATACAATACTTACATACTTTTACTGTAATTTGATGATAATACTGACATACTTTTACTGTAATCTGCTTACAATACTTACATACTTTTACTGTAATCTGAATACAATACTTACATACTTTTAAGGTAATCTGATTACAATACTTACATACTTTTAAGGTAATCTGAATACAATACTGACATACTTTTACTGTAATCTGATTACAATACTTACATATTTTTACTGTAATCTGAATACAATACTTACATACTTTTACTGTTATCTGATTACAATACTTACATACTTTTACTGTAATCTGATTACAATACTTACATACTTCTAAGGTAATCTGAATACAATACTTACATACTTTTACTGTAATTTGATGATAATACTGACATACTTTTACTGTAATCTGCTTACAATACTTACATACTTTTACTGTAATCTGAATACAATACTTACATACTTTTAAGGTAATCTGATTACAATACTTACATACTTTTAAGGTAATCTGAATACAATACTGACATACTTTTACTGTAATCTGATTACAATACTTACATATTTTTACTGTAATCTGAATACAATACTTACATACTTTTACTGTTATCTGATTACAATACTTACATACTTTTACTGTAATCTGATTACAATACTTACATACTTCTAAGGTAATCTGAATACAATACTTACATACTTTTACTGTAATTTGATGATAATACTGACATACTTTTACTGTAATCTGCTTACAATACTTACATACTTTTACTGTAATCTGAATACAATACTTACATACTTTTAAGGTAATCTGATTACAATACTTACATACTTTTAAGGTAATCTGAATACAATACTGACATACTTTTACTGTAATCTGATTACAATACTTACATATTTTTACTGTAATCTGAATACAATACTTACATACTTTTACTGTTATCTGATTACAATACTTACATACTTTTACTGTAATCTGATTACAATACTTACATACTTCTAAGGTAATCTGAATACAATACTTACATACTTTTACTGTAATTTGATGATAATACTGACATACTTTTACTGTAATCTGCTTACAATACTTACATACTTTTACTGTAATCTGAATACAATACTTACATACTTTTAAGGTAATCTGATTACAATACTTACATACTTTTAAGGTAATCTGAATACAATACTGACATACTTTTACTGTAATCTGATTACAATACTTACATATTTTTACTGTAATCTGAATACAATACTTACATACTTTTACTGTTATCTGATTACAATACTTACATACTTTTACTGTAATCTGATTACAATACTTACATACTTCTAAGGTAATCTGAATACAATACTTACATACTTTTACTGTAATTTGATGATAATACTGACATACTTTTACTGTAATCTGCTTACAATACTTACATACTTTTACTGTAATCTGAATACAATACTTACATACTTTTAAGGTAATCTGATTACAATACTTACATACTTTTAAGGTAATCTGAATACAATACTGACATACTTTTACTGTAATCTGATTACAATACTTACATATTTTTACTGTAATCTGAATACAATACTTACATACTTTTACTGTTATCTGATTACAATACTTACATACTTTTAAGGTAATCTGAATACAATACTTACATACTTTTACTGTAATCTGCTTACAATACTTACATACTTTTACTGTAATCTGAATACAATACTTACATACTTTTACTGTTATCTGAATACAATACTTACATACTTTTACTGTAATCTGATTACAATAGTTACATAGTTTTACTGTAATTTGATGATAATACTGACATACTTTTACTGTAATTTGATGATAATATTGACATACTTTTACTGTAATCTGATTACAATACTTACATACTTTTATTGTAATTTGATTACAGTAGTTACATAGTTTTACTGTAATTTGATGATAAAACTGACATACTTTTACTGTTATCTGATTACAATACTTACATACTTTTACTGTCATCTGATTACAATACTGACATACTTTTACTGTAATTTGATGATAATACTGACATACTTTTACTATAATCTGATTACAATACTTACATACTTTTACTTTAAGGTTTTAAATGTAGGACTTTTACTTGGTTTGGAGTACTTTAACAGTAGTGTACTGGCACATGTACAACAGTGAGGGATCTCGTAGCTGACGTCATGTCCTGACAGGAAGTCTCTGCAGTGCTGAGTCAGCTGAGCTACACCGGAAGCAAAACAAACAGCAGGGACCAGGCGCAGCAGCAGCTGGAGTCTCGTGCTGCGGAGGGTCCAATAAGCTTTATTCTACCTCAGTAATTAAAACGTCTTTTTTTTAAAAAAATTGTTTCTTTCTTTTTTTTCTTTTTTTTTTTTTGCGGGAAACCGAGGTGAAACGCTACGTCACCGAACAATAGCACGAGACACACCGGTGCGCGAGACCTGCTGCACTTTGTAAACGCGGAAGTTGAGTGAGAAAGGTTTGAATTTCATATTTAAAGTTTTCTGAATTTTATCTTGTCAGCGGTTTGACCTGCAGGAGCGTTTATCAGTTTGACTAACAGGAGAAATTATACAAAATATTTAGTATGAGTATTTTTTTAAAAATAAATCAGCGGAGTTACTGCAGAGAAAGTAAACTTTGTATTTGAATCTAACTCTAATGGTGTTGGAGAGTTACTCTTTTTTTAAAGTTTGTCTGTAAAAGTGTCACTGTCCCCCTTGTTGCTGTTTTTGCACATACAATCACTTGCACTAGATATGCTCTCTTTAATCCACTGCTCATTATTATCACTATTACTATTATTATCATTATCATTATCATTATTATTATTACTATTATTTATCACCGTTTCTTGTACTTTTGCACTGTCTTTTGCATGCCTAGTTTTTCAGTTTTAAAGTTTAAATTTTGAAATTTAATCTGACTCTTTCCCCTTGACTGCTGTAACACTGGAATTTTTCAATTGTTAATCAATCAATCAATCAATCAATCAATCAATCAATTAATCAATCAATTTTATTTATAAAGCCCAATATCACAAATCACAATTTGCCTCACAGGGCTTTACAGCATACGACATCCCTCTGTCCTTAAGACCCTCACAGCTGATCAGGAAAAACTCCCCAAAAAAACCCTTTAACGGGAAAAAATCAATAAATGTGGGATCAATAAAGGTGTATCTTATTTTATCTTATTTTATTTTATCTTATCTTAAATACTTGTAAAAAAGAAATAAAATATAGTACATGGATGACACAATGCCTACCTTAGTTGAATATAAACCCAAATATGACATCTAATGTTGTGTTTTGATGTTTATTGCCTAATTATTTTAACATTCACTCCACCTTGAAGCTGTTCAGAATGAAACACATTTGATTTCTGATGTGGTCAGACAACACGTCATAAGAGCCAGTTCTGAGAGAGAAAAATGTAGTTAAAGTAGTGTTTGGTTCCTCTGACTGATATTATTATATATGACATCATTAGATTATTAATACTGAAGCATCAGTGTCAGAGCAGCATGTTACTGTTGTAGCTGCTGGAGCTGGAGCTAGATTCAACTACTTTATAAACAGTTAGACCATAAATCAGCATCAACAGCTGTCAGCAGGTGTCCTGACTCCTGCAGCACAACCAAACTGTCTCAGTAACGGGTGTGACCAGTGAGCCATTGTTGTTAGATGTTTACACTTTTAATGAGAAAAGACAAATCTCTGAGTCACTCGTGTATTTCACAAGTAATTTACACGTCTTACGTCTTTGTGGTTTCTGCATCTCTTTGTAGCCTCTTTGCATCTCTTTGTAGCCTCTTTGGATCTCTTTGTAGCCTCTTTGAATCTCTTTGTAGCCTCTTTGGATCTCTTTGCAGCCTCTTTGAATCTCTTTGTAGTCTCTTTGCATCTCTTTGTAGTCTCTTTGAATCTCTTTGTAGCCTCTTTGAATCTCTTTGTGGTTTCTGCATCTCTTTGTAGCCTCTTTGCATCTCTTTGTAGCCTCTTTGGATCTCTTTGTAGCCTCTTTGAATCTCTTTGTAGCCTCTTTGGATCTCTTTGCAGCCTCTTTGAATCTCTTTGTAGTCTCTTTGCATCTCTTTGTAGTCTCTTTGAATCTCTTTGTAGCCTCTTTGAATCTCTTTGTGGTTTCTGCATCTCTTTGTAGCCTCTTTGCATCTCTTTGTAGCCTCTTTGGATCTCTTTGTAGCCTCTTTGAATCTCTTTGTAGCCTCTTTGGATCTCTTTGCAGCCTCTTTGAATCTCTTTGTAGTCTCTTTGAATCTCTTTGTAGCCTCTTTGAATCTCTTTGTAGCCTCTTTGGATCTCTTTGTGGTTTCTGCATCTCTTTGTAGCCTCTTTGCATCTCGTTGTAGCCTCTGTGAATCTCTTTGTAGCCTCTTTGGATCTCTTTGTAGCCTCTTTGCATCTCTTTGTAGCCTCTTTGAATCTCTTTGTAGTCTCTTTGAATCTCTTTGTAGCCTCTTTGCATCTCTTTGTAGCCTCTTTGAATCTCTTTGTAGTCTCTTTGCATCTCTTTGTAGTCTCTTTGTAGCCTCACAGTGGAGATGTGTTAACTGTTATTGTTCCTGATCACTGAGATCAGACGGACATGTGTTTGTTTGTTTGGATGTTGTCACATGTTGTTGTTTACGAACTTTTAATGCTGATGAACCCTCAAACACTTCCATGAAACAAACCAGTGATCATGAAGGCGTCAGCCTCATGTGGAAGCATACTGATGACGAGAGACTGGAGACAGCTGAAGACAAAGCTCTGCTCAGTTAACACTACAGTTCCCATAATGCACCTGCGGAGTGAGCGTCACAGGAGCCTGTCTGTCATGTGACCGGCTAATTACCTCTTTAAATCTATCTGTCTGTCTCATTACCTTCGTCACATTGTAACTGGTTTCAATGGTTTCACAGCGATGAAGAGGAGTCGGCTGCTGGCTGTGCTGGTGGGCGGAGTCTTCTGTGTTGCAGTGATGTCACTGTACCGTATGCTGGAGCTGATGCAGGGGGCGGAGCTTCAACAACACCGGGTGACACCTGCTGGACGGGTGGATGACGTGAGTCCACACTGCTGATTCTATTTCCTGATAGTTTAACAGTCTCTGAAGATGATCCGTGGAATTTCAAAATAAAGTGTGAGATTAACAGCGGTGGAAAGTAACTGAGTACATTTACGATCTCCATGTGTTCTTAAACCGTTAAGTAAAGGATGTGAGTGTGTCTGCGTACTGGTGCTTTTACACCGCTGCATTTGAACACCAGAGTCTGTAGACTTATGTCAGAGTTAATACGTTGAGTTTTCAGTTTCAGATTTTTGTTGTCGTTGGTTTAATGACGTGTCTGTAAATATTCGGTGGTCCTTTGTGTCAGCAGGATTTGTCCCGCCTCCAGCAGAAGATTGACAGGTTGGAGCGTCTCCTTAGGGACAACAACCGTCTGGTTGCTGCGCTGCGTGACTCTCTGCTCCGCCGCAAAGCATCATGGGAAACGGGAGGAGGGGCCAATATCAGCTCAGACTCCGCCCACAGCCGAGCCGAAGCGCTGCCTGGCTGCCGATTGGCTGAAGAGAAGAAGGACGGAACAGACCGAGTGCAGGTTAGCTTAGCATATGCTACCAGCCACTCTGATGAAAGAACCTGTAGCACAGTGTTGGCATTATTAAAAATATTTCTTTAGTAGTAGAAGCTTTATTTCTGAACGTCATATGATATCTGTAATATATATATACACATATATATGTATATATTATAGATATATTATATATGATATAGATGATATAATATAATAATAAATGTCAGTACGTGTTATTAAAAAACGTATATTCGTCCGTAGCTGCTGGATGTTTATGACCTCCTGCCTTTTGATAATGTCGACGGCGGCGCCTGGAAACAAGGTTTTGAGATCCATTACCAAGGCGACGAGTGGGACAAGCAGCCGCTGGAACTTTTCCTGGTTCCTCATTCACACAACGACCCCGGTGAGATCCCATCAGACACATTTCACCCTCCTTCAGGGACACACTCCTGACTCCACACCAGCTTGTCCATCTGCGGACAAAAGACGTGTCCCCACTTTGGAAGAAGCTGATCTTTGGGTCAGTGGTTATCAGTCAATCAATCAATCAATCAATCAATCAGTCAGTTTTATTTATAAAGCCCAATATCACAAATCACAATCTGCCTCACAGGGCTTTACAGCATACGACATCCCTCTGTCCTTATGACCCTCACAGCTGATCAGGAAAAACTCCCCAAAAAACCTTTAACGGGGACAAAAACGGTAGAAACCTCTAGAGGGCGAACATGACGCCAGGAAATGAGTGTGCGTCAATGTCACCTCCTCAGTAAATGTATGTATGTGTGTATGTGTGTATGTGTGTGTGTGTGTGTGTGTGTGTGTGTGTGTGTGTGTGTGTGTGCGCGCGCCTGCGTTTGTGTGTTTCAGGCTGGCTGAAGACGTTTGACAGTTACTATGACGACCAGACCAAACACATCCTCAACAACATGCTGATCAAACTGACTGAAGACAGCAGGTACTCATCTTCATCTTCATCTTCATCCTAGTTTTATTTCTACATGAGTTCAGACGAGAGATGCACTGAGTGTGAAGTTCTGGGCCGACACCGATGGTTTTGTTGTTGTTTACATTGTCACCCTCCATTTTCTGTTTGTGCTTTGAGCTGCTGTGAAATGTGAGTTTCCCAAGTGTGGGATTAATAAAGTTTATCTTATCTTATCTTATCTTATCTTATCAGTGTGCAGTCAGACTCATTTATCATACAGAACCTTCTCTCTCGGCTGATTTATTCAAGGTTCTCACCAAAAGCTACATTTTACATGATTACACTGAACACATCATGAAAGCGTCAGAATTCACTTTAACCCAATAGTAAATTTTACTGAATAGAGCCTGAACACACCATAATTCAACTCAGTGTAACCTTTGTTAGCTGTTAGTTCCAGCAGCTGCAAACAGCTAACAGCTAACAGCTAACATTAACTAGCTGCTAACAGCTAATGTTAACTAGCTGCTAACAGCTGATGTTCACTAGCTGCTCACAGCTAATGTTAACTAGCTGCTCACAGCTAACGTTAACTAGCTGCTAACAGCTAATGTTCACTAGCTGCTAACAGCTGATGTTCACTAGCTGCTCACAGCTAACGTTAACTAGCTGCTAACAGCTAATGTTCACTAGCTGCTAACAGCTGATGTTCACTAGCTTCTCACAGCTAATGTTAACTAGGTGCTCACAGCTAACGTTACCTAGCTGCTAACAGCTGATGTTAACTAGCTGCTAATAATAACTAACAACTAACGTTCACTAGCTGCTAACAGCTAACGTTAACTAGCTGCTAACAGCTAATGTTCACTAGCTGCTAACGTTAACTAGCTGTTAACAGCTGATGTTAACTAGCTGCTCACAGCTAATGTTAACTAGCTGTTAACATCTAACGTTAACTAGCTGCTAACAGCTAATGTTAACTAGCTGCTCACAGCTAACGTTAACTAGCTGCTCACAGCTAACATTAATTAGCTGCTCACAGTTGATGTTAACTAGCTGCTAATGTTAACAAGCTGCTAACAGCTAATGTTAACTAGCTTCTCACAGCTAACGTTAACTAGCTGCTAACAGCTAACATTAACTAGCTGCTAACAGCTAATGTTAATTAGCTGCTCACAGCTGATGTTAACTAGCTGCTAATGTTAACTAGCTGCTAACAGCTAATGTTAACTAGTTGCTAATGTTAACTAGCTGCTCACAGCTGATGTTAACTAGCTGCTAATGTTAACTAGCTGCTAACAGCTAATGTTAACTAGCTCTCCTCCTGCTGATGTCATCACAGATTTGTTGTTCCCAGTGTGACATCATCAGAGGAAACAGCGGGCTGCGTCCTCTGACACGTCCATAGTCAGTTAACTGCGTCCCTTCGTCCCGGCAACGTCTCAGAAGATCTTTGTTTGTCTCAAACTTATCTTCTGTTGTCATCAGGACAACGGGACGCAGTTAGTCTGAACTTAAGCTCTGCTTTCATCCTGAGACAGAAAAACATCGACCCCTGACATCAGTGATGTCATCACATGTCATCTGATCAGCTGATACATCAGTGCATCTCTAGTTCAGACTCAGACCATCAACATGTCAGTCTGTCTGTCAGTTCTGTCTGACTTCCTGTCTGTGACTCTCAGTTTTTAATCCATTGGTTCCTCCTGAAGATCGTTATCAGATCTGTAGTTGGTTCAGTCGCCTCCTCAGACGGCTGCTCACTCGAGTTTTTATTAGACTAACAGAAGGTCGTCCCCAGCCAGCGCCAGACGATATTTTAAATATCAAACGTTAGAATTCCACGACACTAACATCATGTTGTTTTGCAGATGTCGTACCTCTTGACTGAACGTTTTGGTTCTGATTGACTTCCTGTTTGCCTCTGACAGAGCGGACCACAGGGGGTCATTACTGATGGCGAGTTGTGTCATTTCCGGTGTTTCTGTGACAGCGTCTCTGTGCTGCTCTGGTGAATTCTGCTAGCCTGCTTTCTCACTTCAGTTGCTTTAACGTCTACTTCAGGTCTTAACCCACAGTGGTTCTGTTTAAGCACTTACAGCTCTCCTCCTTTCTACGACTTTCTCGCTAATCTCTTAGCTGTTGTTTGCACGTTACTAGCCTTGGTAGCTACATTAGCTTTACAGCTAGCGATGGCTTCTCCCTCTGCTCTTTCTTGCTCGGTGTGCCAAATGTTCAGTTATGCCTCTGCCTCCTTTAGCGACAGTGGTAATTGTAATAAGTGTAGCTTATTTGCTGCGTTGGAGGCGAGGCTTAGTGAATTAGAAGCGCGGCTCCGCACCATGGAAAACCATTCAGTAGCTGCGGTAGTTAGCCAGCCCCCTGTAGCCGGTGCGGAGCCACATAGCATAGCCTTAGCCTCTGCTAACTGTCCTCCGGTAACTCCCGTTCAGCCGGGAGGTTGGGTTACGGTTCGCCAGAAGCACAGCTCCAAGCAGAAGCCCACGGCTCACCACCAGCCTGTTCACGTTTCCAACCGCTTTTCCCCACTCAGCGACACACCCGCTGAGGATAAAACTCTGGTTATTGGCAGCTCTATTCTGAGGAACGTGAAGTTAGCAACACCAGCGGCCATAGTCAAATGTATCCCTGGGGCCAGAGCGGGCGACATTGAATCAAATTTAAAACTGCTGGCTAAAGCTAAACGTAGATTCAGTAAGATTGTTATTCACGTCGGCGGCAATGACACCCGGTTACGCCAATCGGAGGTCACTAAAATTAATATTGCCTCGGTGTGTGAATATGCAAAAACGATGTCGGACTCCGTAGTTTTCTCTGGACCCCTCCCAAATCTGACCAGTGATGACATGTTTAGCCGCATGTCATCATTTAACCGCTGGCTGTCCAGGTGGTGTCCAGCAAACGATGTGGGTTTTGTTAATAATTGGCAAACTTTCTGGGGAAAACCTGGTCTTATTAGGAGAGACGGCATTCACCCCACTTTGGATGGAGCTGCTCTCATTTCTAGGAACCTGGCAAATTTTATTAGTAATTTAAATCCCTGACAACCCAGAGTTGAGACCAGGACAGAGAGTTGCAGTCCTAAACGCCTCTCTGAGCTTCTAGTTCAGTTACCCAGCCATAGTTTTCATAGTTTTATACAAACGGTGTCTGTCCCCCGACCACCTAAATTATTTAAATCTAAAATTAAACAAAGAGGAGTTGTGCATAACAACCTCATAAAAATTAAAACCTCTTCTGTGACAGAAAGACAAAACAGGAGAATTAAATGCGGACTGTTAAATATCAGGTCTCTATCGTCTAAAGCAGTGTTAGTAAACGAATTAATATCAGATAATCATATTGATTTACTCAGTCTCACTGAAACCTGGCTGTGTCAAGATGAATATGTTAGTCTAAATGAGTCCACTCCTCCCAGTCATAATAATACCCACATTCCTCGAGGCAGCGGCCGAGGAGGGGGAGTTGCAGCCATTTTTAACTCTAGTCTGTTAATCAGCCCTAAACCTAAACTAGATTATAATTCATTTGAAAGCCTCGTTCTTAGTGTTTTACATCCGACCTGGAAAACCTCGCAGCCACTTTTATTTGTTATAGTGTACCGTGCTCCTGGCCCGTATTCTGAATTTGTATCTGAATTCTCAGAGTTTTTATCCAGTTTAGTTCTTAAATCAGATAAAGTTATTATTGTAGGCGATTTTAACATTCATGTCGACGTTGATAATGACTCCCTGGCTACCGCGTTTATCTCATTAATAGACTCCATTGGCTTCAGTCAGGGTGTACATGAACCCACTCACTGTTTTAACCATACCCTCGATCTAGTTCTGACGTATGGAATTGAAATTGATAACCTAAAAGTCTTTCCACAGAATCCCTTGCTATCAGATCATTATCTGATTACTTTTGATTTCTTTTTACTCGATTACACGCCACTCAGCAACAGTTACTATACTAGATGTTTATCAGATAGTGCTGTCACAAAATTTAAGGAAAAGATTACTTCGTCGTTAAATTCAATACCAATACCTTCAGTAACAGAGGTTTCCCGTGCCGACTTTAACCTCTCCCAAATTGATCATTTTGTTGATAGCGCCGTAGGCTCGCTGCGAACAACGCTCGACTCTGTAGCTCCTCTTAAAAAGAAGTTAACAAAGCAAAGAAAGTTTGCTCCTTGGTATAACTCTCAAACCCGTAGGTTAAAACAAATATCGCGAAAATTTGAAAGGAATTGGCGATTAACCAAACTGGAAGAATCTCGTTTAATCTGGACAGACAGTCTCAAAACTTATAAGAGGGGCCTCCGCAATGCCAGAGCAAACTATTACTCAGCATTAATAGAAGAAAACAAGAACAACCCCAGGTTTCTTTTCAGCACTGTAGCCAGGCTGACTGAGAGTCAAAGCTCTATTGAGCCTTGTATTCCTTTAGCCCTTAGCAGTAATGATTTTATGAGCTTTTTTAATGACAAAATTCTAACTATTAGAGGCAAAATTCATGACCTCCTGCCCTCAGATGGTAGGCCTACCTATCTAACCTCAAACACAGCTGTAGAATCTAATATATATTTAGATTGCTTCTCCCCAATTTCTCTTCAAGAATTGACCGCAGTGATTTCTTCATCTAAATCATCAACGTGTCTCTTAGACCCCATCCCAACTAGGCTACTTAAGGAGGTCTTTCCTTTAGTTAACACTCATATATTAGATATGATCAATATATCCCTATTAACAGGCTATGTACCACAGTCTTTTAAGGTAGCTGTAATTAAACCTCTCCTAAAAAAGCCCACCCTGGATCCAGAGGTGTTAGCCAACTATAGACCAATATCTAATCTTCCCTTTATGTCAAAGATCCTTGAGAAAGTAGTCGCAGACCAGCTGTGTGATTTTCTCCAGGATAATAATTTATTTGAGGAATTTCAGTCAGGATTTAGAGTGCATCATAGCACTGAGACAGCTCTAGTTAAAATTACAAATGACCTTCTGATTGCTTCAGACAAAGGACTCGTCTCTGTTCTTGTTTTATTAGATCTTAGTGCGGCGTTTGACACAATTGACCATCAAATTCTACTGCAGAGACTGGATCACTTAATTGGCCTAAAAGGTTCAGCACTAAGCTGGTTTAAATCTTATTTATCTGATCGTTTTCAATTTGTTGACGTTCGTAATGAATCATCCTTACGTACCAAAGTTTGTTTTGGAGTTCCGCAAGGTTCTGTGCTCGGACCAATCCTATTTACTCTATATATGCTTCCTTTAGGTAACATCATTAGAAATCACTCTATAAATTTCCATTGTTATGCGGATGATACACAGTTGTATTTATCGATGAAGCCAGAAGAAAGTAATCAATTAACTAAACTCCATAACTGCCTTAAAGACATAAAAAATTGGATGAGCACCAATTTCCTGATGTTAAATTCAGACAAAACTGAAGTTATTGTTCTTGGCCCCAAACAACTCAGAGACTCTTTATCTGATGACATAGTTTCTCTAGATGGCATTGCTCTGGCCTCTAGCACTACCGTAAGAAACCTCGGAGTAATATTTGATCAAGATTTGTCTTTTAATTCTCATTTAAAGCAAACCTCACGGACTGCATTTTTTCATCTGCGTAATATTGCGAAAATTAGGCCTATCCTGACCCGAAAAGATGCAGAAAAATTGGTCCACGCTTTTGTTACCTCAAGGCTGGATTACTGTAACTCTCTATTATCAGGTAGCTCTAGTAAGTCCTTAAAAACTCTCCAGCTAATTCAGAATGCAGCAGCACGTGTACTAACAGGAACTAAGAAACGAGATCATATTTCTCCTGTTTTAGCTTCTCTGCACTGGCTCCCTGTAAAATCCAGAATTGAATTTAAAATCCTACTGTTAACTTATAAAGCTCTAAATGGTCAAGCTCCGTCATATCTTAGAGAGCTCATAGTGCCATATTATCCCACCAGAACACTGCGCTCTGAGAACGCAGGGTTACTCGTGGTCCCTAAAGTCTCCAAAAGTAGATCAGGAGCCAGAGCCTTCAGCTATCAGGCTCCTCTCCTGTGGAATCATCTTCCTGTTACGGTCCGGGAGGCAGACACCGTCTCCACATTTAAGACTAGACTTAAGACTTTCCTCTTTGATAAAGCTTATAGTTAGGGCTGGCTCAGGCTTGCCCTGTACCAGCCCCTAGTTAGGCTGACTTAGGCCTAGTCTGCCGGAGGACCCCCTATAATACACCGGGCTCCCTCTCTCTCCCTCTCTCTCTCTCTCTCTCTCTCTCTCTCTCTCTCTCTCACTCTCATCCTATTACTGCATCTTGCTAACTCGGCCATTCTGGATGTCACTAACTCGGCTTCTTCTCCGGAGCCTTTGTGCTCCACTGTCTCTCAGATTAACTCATATCGCAGCGGTGCCTGGACAGCGTGACGTGTGTGGTTGTGCTGCTGCCGTGGTCCTGCCAGATGCCTCCTGCTGCTGCTGCCATCATTAGTCATTAGTCATACTTCTACTGTTATTATACACATATGACTATTGTCACACATGTATACTGCCAGATATTAATACATACTTTCAACATATTGTACCACAGTAGCCAGAACTATAACTATAATATTATTACTTTCAATAATGTTGTTGTAAGCTACTGTCATTACCTGCATCTCTCTCTCTCTCTCTCTCTCTCTCTCTCTCTCTCTCTCTCTCTCTGTCTCATTGTGTCATATGGATTACTGTTAATTTATTATGCTGATCTGTTCTGTACGACATCTATTGCACGTCTGTCCGTCCTGGAAGAGGGATCCCTCCTCAGTTGCTCTTCCTGAGGTTTCTACCGTATTTTTTCCCCGTTAAAGGGTTTTTTGGGGAGTTTTTCCTGATCAGCTGTGAGGGTCATAAGGACAGAGGGATGTCGTATGCTGTAAAGCCCTGTGAGGCAAATTGTGATTTGTGATATTGGGCTTTATAAATAAAATTGATTGATTGATTGATTGATTGATGGTTGTTGTTTTTCTTCTGTTGATCAGGAGGAAGATGATTTGGGCCGAAATCAGTTATTTCTCCAAATGGTGGAATGACATTGACGAGCAGAAGAGAGCGATGGTCAAACGGTAACTTTCTGTGTCATTTTCTTGATTTGAAAAATAGAAAATAAAACAAGAAACTGTGAAACACCAGGAAAGAAAAAAACAACAATAAAATAAAGTTGGTTTAAAAAAAGAGACAGGGCACCCACCAGCTCACCTGGTGGAGCAGGGACCTCATGTGCTAAGGTCGAGTCCTTGCCACAGCAGCCGTGGGTTTGATTCCAACCCACAGCCTTCTGCTGCATGTCGCCCCCCTTGGAAACAGGGTTCCACCAGATCAGAATGTGACACATCACGTGACACATAGAGTGCTGCCCCTAGCACAGACTGGACATGTTGCGCTGCAGCTCGTTGACAGGCGACCACACAAAGTTCTCACTTCCTTTACTGACAGATGTGTACATCCTCCTCTGCGTTAGCTTCAAATCACTTGTCTGCGCCGTAGATGCAGTGCTGAAATATAAATCCCGCTAAAGGTCACCACGGCGACTCGTCAGAAGATTAAAAACACGCAGCAAAGCTGCACATTTCAGATCTGCAAAATAAACAAACACAAACAAAAGAAAAACAAATGTGTGATGTCAGAAACATCTGACACTTCTTTTCTTTAAAATGTTTCTATTTTAAATAATTAGTAATTATATTCAGTCCCTCCAGGATCTCGCGGCAAAAAAAACCTGGAATGTGCTGCCAATTTTGTAAAAAATTCCAACAAAATTGCAGCGTTTTTATGTGTTTTTTTGCGGGAAATTGCAGGTAATGACAAAAAGGGGGAATTTTTTATTTTTTTTTTTTTAATTATGACCTCCAAAAAAATAAGTCATGTAGTCACTTGCTATAATAATCATACTGAATATTACAAAAATAGCTGCAAATGTTTTTTATAGTTCTCTTCTTTAGTTTTGTTTAATTAGTTTCAAAACATGGACTCCAATAATGATCAAAAGATCCTGAGTGAATATTGTTGCTCTCAAACCAGACGATGTGACTGTACAACATGTCAGTTCCATCTTCTGTAAACACAACATTTTAATACATTCAATACATATTGTCATATTCACACAGTGCACATTCTGTTGTCAATACTGAGCGTTTCTCCACACTGCAGTGCTATTAGCGCATTTGATGACGCGTCTGATGACGTTTGAAATGACGTCATGTGCGCGATGACTTCCGGTCGGCTGGAAAACACGGAAAAACGCCCCCGCAGATATTGCGGACTTTGGTTGAAGTTGCGTTAATTATTGCAATCGCAAGATTGCGATTTTCTGGAGGGACTGTATATTTTATTATTGTTTTTGTTTTTCTTTATTTTATGTTTTGATTTTAATTTGAATTACGTAAAGTTTGTAACTTTTTTATTGTGTTTATTTTGTTTATTATTTTGTCGTGTGTTTATGCATTTCTTCATTTTTATAATTTTGCCTTCTTCCTCTCTGTGATTGGTCAGCCTGGTGGGGGCGGGACAGTTGGAGCTGGTGACGGGCGGCTGGGTGATGGCGGACGAAGCAAGCTCTCACTACTTCGCTCTGTTGGATCAGCTGATCGAGGGCCACCAGTGGCTCCAGCGACACCTGGGTTCATGACGCTTCGTTTCCTTTCGCTGCGTGTTTTCAATCTTTTGACGAGTCGCTGTGGTGACCTTGATTTCTCTGTCCAGGTGTGAAGCCGAAGAGCGGCTGGGCCGTGGATCCATTTGGCCACTCCCCCTCGATGACCTACCTGCTGAAGGGGGCGGGGCTCAGCAACATGGTCATCCAACGCGTTCACTATGCCGTCAAGAAGCACTTCGCCCAACAACAGACCCTGGAGTTTCTATGGCGACAGAGCTGGGGTGGGTGTGGCCAGGAGACACTGAGGCAGAATGTCGAGAGGGGATTCTGGAAAATAAACAAAGAAAGTAACAAAAACAATGACAACAACAAAACAGGATCAAAGAAAAGTGAAGAACAAGCAGAATAATTCATAATAACAATAATCTGAATAATAACAGCAGCAGACACAATAAATAAAACAGATCAATAATATACAGAAATAATAAGTTCACAGAATATAATCAGAGTAAACTAATCCAGATGTTAAATCACACAAACAAGAAAACAAAGTGTTTGTAATTTGAAATAAAAATTTAGTTTGAATAAACAAACGTAAAAAACTTTGCAGTAAAATTTGTCAGAATTATTCAAATGTATAAAAATAAATATGATTGATTTCATTATTTCTCAAATATTATATTTATAATTTACATTTTGGGTAAAAAATCAGAAACGTTGCTCTAACTCCGCCCACTTCTTGTGTGACAGACTCCTCCCCCCGCAGTGACATCACGTGTCACATGATGCCATTCTACAGTTATGACGTACCGCACACGTGCGGTCCGAACCCGGCGGTCTGCTGTCAGTTTGATTTCCACCGCCTGCCAGGAGGGCGGGTCTTCTGTCCATGGAGGATACCGCCGCAGCCAATCACAGAGCAGAACGTCCAGGAGAGGTATGCAGGGGGCGGGGCCAAAGATGACTGTAATTTACAGTTATCACCTTAATGATTATTAATAACAATAAACCTGCAGATTGATCCGAGCTTTATGGGTTTGTTTCCGTCTCTTGTTTTTTAAACTGACGACCGTCTGACGAAATCACAAGTTTAAACTTTTGAGACAAATAAACTAGCGTCAGGTCGTGCTCACAAACATGGCTGCTTTACGTCAGTAGCTCAGAACTCCAGCTTCCTGTCTGCTTTGACAGTTTTTATGCCTCCGCGCCGCCGATAGCTGTGGTCGGAGGCGTTAAGTTTTCAGGTTGTCTGTCCGTCTGTCCGTCTGTCCATCTGTCTCATTCTCGGGAATGCCGCAAGGAAATTTTTTCAAAGTCGGCACAAACGTCCACTTGGACTAAATGATGAACTGATCAGAATTTGGTGGTTGAAGGTCAAAGATGGGTTGATGTATGCAGGCCCATTTATAGTTTATACAATGTCATCTCACTGATGGTGTGATGTCCCTGTGTGTCCTCTCAGACCTGTCCTCCTGTTGTCTCACTGATGGTGTGATGTCCCTGTGTGTCCTCTCAGACCTGTCCTCCTGTTGTCTCACTGATGGTGTGATGTCCCTGTGTGTCCTCTCAGACCTGTCCTCCTGTTGTCTCACTGATGGTGTGATGTCCCTGTGTGTCCTCTCAGACCTGTCCTCCTGTTGTCTCACTGATGGTGTGATGTCCCTGTGTGTCCTCTCAGACCTGTCCTCCTGTTGTCTCACTGATGGTGTGATGTCCCTGTGTGTCCTCTCAGAGCTGTCCTCCTGTTGTCTCACTGATGGTGTGATGTCCCTGTGTGTCCTCTCAGAGCTGTCCTCCTGTTGGATCAGTACCGGCAGAAGTCTCGTCTGTTTCGATCTCCGGTTCTTCTCGTCCCGCTTGGTGACGACTTTCGCTTCACGGAGTCGAGTGAGTGGGACGCTCAGTTCAGTAACTACCAGAAACTCTTCGACTACTTCGACCAGCACCCGGAGCTCCACGTCAAGGTGAACACCTGAGGCACCTGGGAGGGGGCGGGGCATAAGGGGACAATGTAATCTGAGAGAGGCCGGATGCAGTGTCCTGAAGAACTTATATTATGTAAGATCACTGAAATTTGAAAACATCCCTTCTGTGTCAAACTGTAGAGGACAGTTGGACATCACACACAGGGTAATGATCTGAAGTCTGAATCTCTTGACCTGTGGCGTCTGTCCTCGATAAACTTAAAACATCTGAGTGAAATAAAGCATTGCTCACAAATTATCAGTAAACATACCTGCAGAGCCAAAATGGACACCTGAATGCTGTGAAGGATCAGGACCTTCGACAGCTCAGGACGTCTGTCTCAAAGACAAACAACAGCCTTCATGATGATTGGACAGATGCTCATTTATTTACGTCCCAATCTCAACTTGGCCACGCCCCTCTGTGGAAACACTGTCACTTCCTGTTGGTCAGAAACATTTTGGGGACATGCTTTAATGACTTGGTGATGTTAGGACAAACCCTTATCCATTTATGGACACATTAGTTTGGAAGTGGTGGCGCCCCCTGTTGACTGTTTTCAAAACAACTGAACACAGTGGTTCATCTTTATTATTGAACACATCCTCTGAGTTTAGTTTTTTTTTTTAAAGATATTTTCAGGGCATTTTTCAGTCACTTTCTTTTCTCGTCTGTTTTCAGGCTCGTTTCGGGACTCTGTCCGATTACTTTGAAGCTCTTCATCGGCGTTTGAGCACTGCAGGAGCGACTCTGCCGACACTCAGCGGCGACTTCTTCACATACGCCGACCGTGACGATCATTACTGGAGCGGATACTTCACCTCAAGACCATTTTACAAACGCCTCGACAGAACGCTTGAGGCCACGCTCAGGTACGTTATCTCATCTGTGACTCAGGTGTGTGTGTGTGTGTGTGTGTGTGTGTTGAGTGGGGGTGGGGAAACACCACAAAGGGAGAAAAAGAACAAAGAAATCAACAGCAACTCCATTCAGGGGTCAGTGTGTGTTACTGTGGGGACAGCTGGGTGTAGGATTGAAGATCTGTCTTCAGTTATGATGATGGACTGGGAAATGATACAAAAGCAGATAACAATAATAATAACAATAATAATTATAATCATAATAACAATAATAATAGTAAGAATAATAATAATAACAATAACAATAAGCATACTTGAATCTGAATCTTTAAATGTTTTCTCTTTCTGGCAGAGCGACAGAAATCCTCTTCAGCTTGACTTTGGCTGAAATGCGTCGTTTCCGGGGCGATGGTCGTCTGGTCCCAGATTTTCCAGCACGCAAACACTTCCAGCGTTTAATGGCGGGGAGGCGAAGCCTGGCATTGTTCCAGCATCATGACGCTGTCACCGGCACCGCTCGTGACCCTGTCGTGGTCGACTATGGCACCAGGTGGCTACTTCCTGCTTGCACCTCAGCTTGTTAGCAAGTTTGCATAGTCAGACATAAGTCGTTAAGGTTTTAGAAGTAGATGGTGAAACATGTCTGGACAATAATGTGTTAGCATGTTAGCATGTGGTAGGTCATAAGGTGGGAAACAGTTATGAACTGATAGAAACTTTGTGTTTGCACGCTAGCTTAAATCAGAGACACATTAGCATGTAGTGGTAACATGTTAGGTCATAACTTTTTATTAGCTTGCTAGCATCTTAGCAGAGTTGCAGCAATATTGCAATAATAATATGACAACATCATGTAGATTATTTAACCTAAAAAATGTTCAGAGAAATGTTTTTCAGTGTTAGCGTGTTAGCATTGAAGCAGTGTAAGGTTGTGAAGCAGCAGTTAGTAGGTATTAAGACGCAGGTGTTAGCATAGTAAGCATGATGTTGTCTGAGTTTAATGAGGTTGTTACCATAGAAACATGTATCGTTATTTCATTGTGAATTTGTTTGTTTCTATATTTTCACTTGTGTTCCTGAATGATTATTGGTTCCCTCAAAGTTTCTGGGTTATTTTTTCAGACGATATTTTAATTTGATTCTTCATTACATTTAGAGATTATAACAAGTCAGTGTTAGCATTGTAGCATCTGGAACTCTTTAGCATCTTTAGCATTAGCATGTGTTTTGTCTCACTTGTCCCCCCCATGCTCTCTGTTGAAGGACGGCATCGCCACTGGCAACGGTAACAGGTACTGCCTCGCTTAGTGTGAGCAGTTAGCGTTAGCTTCCCATCACTCCCATCCATGTAGCATTAGCATCTAACATTAATATCTCATCACTCCCGTTTGATAAGCGTGTCATTAACGTTGTGTTTCACACTGTAGTTTGTCAGTCGTTGTTTATGTTGTTTGTTTTTAAAGTTGTGAGCGTTGTTTTTACGTAAAGTTTTGTAGTCCTTGGTGCTCGTGAAGTCGCTGCAGCAAAGATTTTAAAAATCAAACGATTTTCAGTTTGAATGAATTAAGTCGATTAAATAAAATGAATGAAAGTCAAAAAGCAAAGAAATTAATTTAGTAAAATATGTGATCTCGGAAATAAAGAAAATTAAAACTCAAAGTTTGAACTAAAACAAATTTTATTTTACAGGTTGTTTCACTCGATCCTGAACCTGCGCCAGGTGCTGCAGAGCTCCGCCCACTGGCTGCTCCTGCTGGACAAGAACCAGTACCACCACGACCAATCAAAACCCTTCATGCAAATGGTGACCTTTGACCTCATTACACCTTCATCCTATGCACTATATTTTTATATGTGTATATATACGTCTCATACAGTTAATGTTTAACTTGTCACACGTCACTGAGCTTCGACCAGCGTTAAGAAATGTCTGAGTGAAAAATGATCAAAAAACAGAAACTAAAGAAAAGAACCATGAGCATGTGAGCAATTAACAATTTATTGAAGGCTGAGCTGCAGTGACGAGACAATGAGAAACGACACTGATGGCGTCTGACTCAGCCGTCGAACTGTGACAACAACAGACCGTATGAAACTGTGACGCTGGGGTCAGAACCAACACATGGAAAAAATAAACTATATTCATATCTTCCAGGATGATGTCATGTCAGCGCACGACGCTCTGCCTCACAAGACGCCCCTCACACTCAGTGATGAACCCAGGTGAGTGGGCGGGGCCTACAGAGGGAGGAGGCGGGGTCACGGTTGCTTCCTTTCTTATCAGAATCAGAAATCATGACACGTCACAGTTACTCTGATGTAAAGCTTTGAAAATGATAAGAAAGTACAAGTATGAAAATATGAAGTTAGTAAAAATATAAAATAAATAAATGTCAAATATTTAGATTAACATGTAAAATATACTAAGTATGTGAAGTGTGTGTAAAAATTAAAAAGTACATTATCCTACAATAAAATGTATAAAACTAGTATGTAAAGTTTTATGCTGTGTTTCCACCAAACGCGAATTCGCAAATTCGCGTGTCAAGATTATATACACAGTCAATGCTAAGACGCGATTAGACGCGTCCATCGCGCCGCCCGCGTCTAGCGTGACGCGATGAACGCGATGGACGTGATAGAGGCGTCTAGCGCGGCGTGATAGACGCCTCTATCTCGTCCAACGCCTCATCGCTCGAGTTGAAAATATTGAACTTTTGAGGCGAATTCGCGTGACGCTGTGCCGCGAAAGCCAATCAGCGTTGAGATTCTCCCGACGTCACTGGCGATAAACTGCTACTCACCGGAGACAGATGGACAGACGCTCCGCAGCTGAAATGGAGCGGCTGTAGTTGGTGTCCTGCTGGGAGATCCTGGCGCCAACCCTCGCCAACAGGTCCTCAAACTGGGCCCCAGTCAGCCTGAAGTACCGCTGAAAGCGGCTATCATCCAGACGGAGTTCCTGGAGGAGGTGGTGAAACTCGCCGAGCTGGATGCGCTTCTGCAGGATAGGGTGAACCCAAAAACGACGGTGTTTGGTCCTCCGACGCATCTGGGACTTCCAGAGCAGGTACAAAGCAGCGATGGTGGATGGATATCTCAGCCATGGTCGTCAGTGGCTACCCGGAGCTATATGATACTACGTGTCTACTCTACAGAGACCGCAACAAAAAGGAGCAGGCTTTGGTGAAAGTCGCCGAGGAGACTGGTCTACTTGGTAAGTTCTGTAAATATGTGTCTTTAATTAGTTTGCAGAATGGTTGTACTATGAACGTTAGCACTAACTTAGCTCCAGTTAGCACAGCCAGCTTCCCCGCTACTCGCGCGAATGACGCGATAACGCGAATTAACAAAATGGTCAGGCGTCGAAACTCGTGCGCTACGGGCGGCGCGTTATGCTGTGTTCCCACCAAACGCGGTGAACGCGATTTAATCGCTCGTAACGCGCCTCTATCGCGTCCATCGCGTCGCGCTAGACGCGTCCATCGCGCCGCCCGGCGCGATTTCACGTCTAATCGTGTCTTTGCATTGACTTTGTATGTAATGTTGACGCGCGAATTTGCGAATTCGCGTTTGGTGGGAACACAGCATTACTCGCGTTACGAGCGATTAAATTACGTTCATCGTGTTTGGTGGGAACACAGCATAAGAATATGAAAACATGTGATTTTCTACAATGTTTGACACCAGTATGTCAGATTTTTAAAAATGTAAAATACACATAATGTGCTGTGTGTGTAAAGTGTTGAAAGTTGAATTCTTGCAGAAGAAGAGTGCCTGCTCCTTTAAGTCTCTGTTGTTAACAATAGCATGTTTTTGTTTCAGGTCATTGATCATCTTTAACCCAACGGAGCAACTTCGTATGTCCGTCATCAGCGTTGTCATCGACTCTCCAGACGCTCATGTTGTTGAGGCAGAAACAGGTCGACCAATGGCTGCACAGATCTCCGCTGTGTGGGCGGAGCCGAGCCGGGCGTCCACAGAATCCTTCCAGGTGAAGAACAGTTTAATCAAAACATGAAGTCATTTTACATCAAGTTATTTTTTATATGTCACATGTCGTCTGCTCCGTGGGCGTCAGAAGGAAAATGAAAGTGGGTGGGACCACAAAGGTGTGTGTGTGTGTGTGTGTGTGTGTAGCCTACATGCTGTCGAGTCACTCAATATTTCAGCTAGGGCTGGGCAGTATTACTTAAAATCAGTCACGTTTAATTGAAGCTTTTACCTCGATTACAATTAATGAACGATTATTTTATTATTTTAAATATGGGGGGGGTTAATATGCTCGACTATTACTCTTGAATCCGTTGCATATTGTGTGGCATTTGTAAACACCTGTGACAGCAACAGTTGCTTTGTGGAGGCACTAGTTGCAGGGCGCCTGTCAGTCTCCCCCCTCCATTAAAGATGAAAGGAGGCTGAAAATCACAAATCACGTCTGTTCTGATGATACAAGTCAGCGGCCCTGAAATGTGTGTTTCTCTTCTATGATACACATTCTACATCTCGGAGATGACGAACTGGGATCTGACACAACACCAGAGGGAGAAGCAGGTCCATGGAGCTGTGCGCCGGACAAAAAACTAGCGTGTCGCACCAAATGTGCACCGCAACGGTGTCTCTTTGGGTTAGGGTTGTCTACATTGAAAGTAATGGGTTTGTGCGCGCAAAAGACGCTACATCTGAGTGCCCCCATGCACACACACACACACACACACACACACACACACACACACACACACACTTTAACCAAGGCGGCGGCCGGAATCACCCAGACGGCCTGCCTTTGTCTTAGACAGGCAGGGACAGCGCTGTGTTTGGGTACAAGCTGTTCCAGTTTATTTGTTGGCTCGGTGTTTGTGCTCGTCTCCTCCATGTAGGCAGCATCAGTCCAGACCAGATGGAGGGGGCGGAGTTACGTGACTTAGGGCATAGTTGTTTTTTTTTTTTTTGGTTTGTTTTTTTGAGGGGACAACATGGGGAAAGTGCCAAAATCACCGACGTGAGTAAGATTACGTCGGTGAGAGGGCCTGAATATTGGATTCGGTATATTTTTGGTTAATTGCCCAGCCCTAATTTCAGTACATAGAACTTAAACTGAGTGGTGCAGAAAATGATGGTGAAAGTGGGTGGGTCCAATATTATTGGACCTGAAGAGTGGCTCCGACGCTCATGATCTGCTCCTTACTTTGTCCCATTTTTCATGTTGAGACATTATTATTATTATTATTATTATTATTGTTGTTGTTGTTATTGTTATTATTATTGTTATGCTCTGAACTTCATGTGTTTAATATTTTGTTTCCTGCGTCATTTTAAGCCCCTCCCCCTGAACATTGTCCAATCACAGCTGAGCAGCAGTAACTTTTACATTTCCACCCTCAGCTTGACTTCGTGGCCGAACTTCCTCCTCTGTCACTCGTCGTGTATCATGTGACCAAAGCCTCTTCTGGCTCCGCCCACCGGGTTCATTACACCTTCCGTCGCCGTGGCAACCCACCGACCATCCAGGCCGAACACTTCCAGGTGTCCCTCCCAGAAGGACCTGAGGCCGACGCCCCCTTGTCGCTCAGCAACAAACACGTCCAAACATGGAGCTCCCCAGAAACCGGCCTGCTGCAGGTCAGAGTCAATAAAGTTTGATTCAACACAACAAAACTAAATAAAAGTTTATTATCAGAAACATTTAAATCTCAACTAATGAAAATATTTAGTTCAGTAAGAAAATATAAAGTTTAATGAAAATAAAACTGAAATTAAAACAACAAAAGTTTTAATTATTAATTTGATCATATTTTTATTCACTGACAGATTTGATTTGTTAAAATTAAAATGATTCATTAACATTTGTTCAGTTTAAATTTAAATAACGAAGGGTTTATTTTGACATGTAGAACCTCCGTCTGCAGTCCGGTCTGCTCCGTCAGCTCCACGTCCAGTTTCTGTGGTACGGAACCAGAACCAGAGCCAACCGGGACAAGAGCGGAGCCTACCTGTTCCTGCCAGGGGAGGAGGGGGCCCAGGTAAGACCACAACCACAACCATTTAGAACCAGAACCAGAACTATAAGTACATTTAGAACCAGATCCACAACCAGAACTATAAGTACATTTAGAACCAGATCCGCAACCAGAGCTATAAGTACATTTAGAACCAGAACCACAGGCAGAACTATAAGTACATTTAGAACCAGATCCACAACCAGAACTATAAGTACATTTAGAACCAGAACC